ACCAACACGCACGCCGCCGCGGCTCGAAACAGGAAGTGGCTCGTAACTAGGCCACATTTGCTCCGATCTGCCCCAAACTCGACATGCCGGATCACAGTCCCGCCGTGCGTGAAGGCCGACAAGCGTAGGTGCGAGGACCTGTCCATCGCTGCTTGCGGCTTTAATTCCAATTTGAAATGTATTGGTTTGAAATTTGTGCTGGGGAACATGAAAAAGTTGGGCAAATTGTGCCCCAGGACACAAAACAATACATTAAGCTTCGTGACTATTTCACGAATTGCTGAGACTGGGTTGGCTATTTTCATTATTTTCATTATTTTACTTCACAGCAGAGTTGTACAATACCCTTTGTGGCTCTAGGTGAGATCGATCAAATGGGAAAATGACGGTGATGATATCACAGTGATTACAAATTCCCAACTGAAAGCCTGAGTTACAACTACAATATGTGGATTCCAAAGGAAGGACTGTTCCACTTTCACAACTGGATTTGTGGGCAGCAATATAACGTGCAGACTGGCACCAGAGTTTTATTTCAATAAATAAATACCTTATGTTAATGTCAGGATGACAAAGTGCGTAAGAATTTTCAGCCATGAGAGCATGCTGAACCCATTGCACCACCCAGAGACTCCTGCACTGTCACTGCAGAGCTGTTGGGTATGCAGAGTCACAACACTACATAGAGTTCACATAGGTAAGGTTTCCTCTATATTAACTTAGGAGTGGCGGGCCGCCATTCCTAAACCCTAGCCGCTGCTCCTTCAAATTTCTTTCATTTTTGTTTTTTGTTTCTAAATACACCACCGCTGCATGTCTCCACCTTCACAGCAGAGTCCTGCACTGGGTCGAGTACTTGCGACTACTACGGTAAACTACAGATAATTATCTTGCTCAGTCTCTACTCTTTGGGGGGGGTTCGTACAATGTTAATTACGCGCGAGCACTAAGCTAAACTACAGATAACTATCTTGCTCAGTATCTACTCTCTGGGGGTTAATACAACGTTAATTGCTCAGGAGCGCGTGGCCTTGAAAGTGACGTTTGTTTATTCCGCTCATAGAAAAGACCATATGAGAAAAAATGACTCGGTTTCATCTTGGACAAATCTGACATTAGAATGCCCAAGTTTACTCTTTTTAAAGCCATCTTTGGTTGCACATCAGTCTGAGCACCACAGCCACCAACAGCAGCTACTGCAGCCTACTATGTGGGGCATTCAGGGAACATCATAAATTGTAGAGTCTATTGGTAAGACAATGGAGAATAGAGTAGAGTTAGTCCGGAGTCCTGTGTGGACTTTCGTGTGACACAGGCGTTGTTTGGTTAAAGGCTTTGTATGCAGTGACGCATGTCGTGGCTGTCACTTGGCTCCTGGCCAATGGAAAAGCAACTGGTTCTTTGGAGTAGGGTTGTCACGATACTAAAATTTTAAACTCGATTTCGCTTCTGTCTTCCTGTCAGGTAAAAAATAAAGCATTGATGGAGCTGCTGCGGAGGAAGGTACGCCTGGCTCAGCCGTATGCTGGAGTCTTCATGAAGAGAGATGATACGTAAGTCTGACAGATCACTCCTGCTATGAAAACTGATGGTCAGTGTAATAGCAGTCTGATTCAATGGAGGGGGATTGTGGATATGAACCTGCTGCTGACTATGCCATTAGTAAATATTGGATAGCATTTTAGAGTTCTCTTAACTCATAAGTACTAGAGTCAACATATACACATCAAATTTTCAGCACATTTGAGCTCTGTTACAACTCCTTTGTCAAGAAAATCTGCTTTCTGATCATTTACCAGAGCAAACTTTATAAGGTGTAGTTTGGGTAAGTATTCAAGTATCCTATCACTCTGTGGGACAGTTGGTTGGTCAGACAGAGTCTTTAAAATTCCCTTCTGATACGTTTAATTTCTAGTTCTGTCCTTTTGTATTGCTATACCACAATTTGTATCTGATGTGACTTTAGAACACAGCATCCATCCATCCATCCATCCATTTTCTTCCGCTTATCTGGGGTCGGGTCACGGGGGCAGTAGGCGGAGCAGATCATTCCAGGCTTCCCTCCTTCAGGCGACACTTTCCAGCTCTTCCTGGGGAAACAGGAGCAGTAGCTCTACGCCCTCCGGACATCTGGAGGGAGCTCGGAGCCCTATCTCTAAGGCTGAGCTAATTTCAGCTGCTTGTATCCGCGATCTCATTCTTTTAGTCACGACCCAAAGCTCATGACCATAGATGAGGGTTGGGACATAGATGGACTTGTAGTAAATCAAGAGCTTCGCCTTGCGGCTCAGTTCTCTACTCACCACAACGGTTTGGTACTGTGGCCCCCCCCGGCAAGCCAACAGGTTTACGGCAGAGGACCATGGCCTCGGCCATGGAGGTACTGATCCGGCCACTCCATAGTTCTCCTGGGGGACTTCAATGCTCATGTGGGCAATGCCGGTGAAACCTGGAGACAACAGGTTGTCAATGCTAACGAGTGACTGTCAGTAATCAGTGAATTGAGCTAGGAACTTGACATGCTGCCTTGCTGTCTCTGTCTGTCTGTTGGTAGTAATTATGTGTTTCTGTCTCTTACAGTAATGAGTCAGATGTGGTGGAGTCTCTAGATGCCATTTACACTACAGGGACCTTTGTTCAGATTCATGAGATGCAGGACTTGGGAGAAAAGCTGAGGATGATTGTCATGGGACACCGCAGGTTAGATACACTACTGCTGCTGGTGGGCGATACATTTTGGGGTAAAAGGCATGATGGATGGTTTTCATGAAAATCTGTAGACCGTGCTCTTCATGCCTCACTGTTTTGTGCTGCTGATTAGTGCTGCTATATGTATGTTTCGGTCTGTCAGAATTCGGATAACTAAACAGCTGGACGTGGAGCCTGAGGAGGCAGCGGCATCCCCTGTTTTGTCAGAGTCTGAACCAGAGTCTCAAAACAAACCACCGAGACGCAAATCCAAACGCAGCCGAAAGGACCAACCTGGCTCTCTGACAGAGCAGCTCGAGGACAAGGTCTGTAACAAGCAGATTACTACAAATGAACTGAGTGATAGAAAAATGGAAGCCAGGTAGTTGTTCCAGCACATTAATGATAATTCAGTTCTGCCATGTGTGGTCTGCTAAGCTGTGGAAACTTGGCGGCAACCAGAGGGCTGTATGACAAAGCAAGATTAGTGAATTAGCACGTATGTTGAGCTTAAAGTCATAGTTTTCAATGTCATGAAGGTGGCTCTCTTTTAAGCTGTTACATCTCCATGGTAACTGATGCTGTGGCGCTAACCTGGTCCAGAGCAGGTTGTGTTCAGAGTTTTGGATTTAAATTGACTGGAAGAAGCATCTCGCTTTAACCAAATTGTTTCTTGAAATTCTCTGTGAGCAAGACAGATTTTCAGTTGATGGAATATGTTTTATCTGTAAACGTGTTCATTTGTATGTCACTACTATCTCTGAATGAAGCTGTGTACTTAAAGCATTACACACTGTATGCGTTTTTTGCCATGGAACCCGACATGTATACAGCTGCTGATACAGTCACATAAATATGTGTTCAATCCTGATTTGCTGCCAAGACCATTTCATGTGACTTTATCCTTGCAGTTGCGGTAACTCCCAGAACTTGCAGTTTATTTTGTAACTGCCAGCTCCCTTAGCAAAATGAAAACTGTCTGCTCCTGTGAGATTTGGATCCTGTTGGACTAGTCCCTGTTCTAATGTCATTGTAGTGATGATAGTAGCAGTATTTATAGTTGATGTTCATTTTACATTGATGTAGTGTTTGTAACTGTGTTGGTCAGATTTCAGAAGCAGACCTGACTCCAGAGCTTCAGCCTTTGCCCTCCTCCAACATCCTGATGGTGGAAGTGGACAATGTTCAACACGAACATTTCACTGTCACTGAGGAAGTCAAGGTACAAAACACACGTTAGGATGTGTAGCACGCATGGGGAAGGGAAGGTAGCAGGTTTCATCACAGGATTTTTATTATGAAACTTACTCATTTTGAATTCTGTAGTAGATGTCATAAGACTAAAAATATAACTAACTGAAAAGGAAACTAATAAGTCTAATCTGTGTGATGTGTGTTTTCTGTAGGCACTGACAGCAGAGATAGTGAAGACCATCAGGGACATCATTGCTCTCAATCCCCTCTACAGGTTAGCCCTGACTCTAAGTTAGTCAGTCATTTAAGTCACAAATATTGTCACCCCACATTTGTTTCAGTTTTTATTTGCATAACGCCGCGTGCAGATCACACTTGGCCTACAGTACAGTTGGATGTGTTCAACAAATCCTAGCTCTGTTGTAAAGTTAAAAATACAATTGCACCACAGCTTCCTTTGATGGATTTTCTACATTTCATGTTGTTGTATTTTCTATCCGTATTACTACATAACTCCAGTTGAGGCTGACCTGTGCATCTTCTTGCACTTTGACACCCCTGGTTTAGATCATAAGATGATATAATGATGGTCCACTGATTGATGGAAGCAGTGGGTTTATCCATGTGAAAAACCTTTAAAAGCAGACTGAGCATCTGAAATTATTTTCAAAAATATTCTTGCTTCCTTTTTTAAGCCTTTTAACGAGTGGTGCTCACTGGTAGCAGTAACTGTCTTACTTGCCAGTGCCAATTAAAACCACCTTGTATCTGTGTCTGCATGTCAAATTCAGTTTAATTTATTTCAACTCAGTTCAATTTACTACTCACAAATTCAGTGCAAATGTCATCATAAGGCACACAGTGAGGTGAGGACTTTACAATGCAATAGAGAGAAACTCAATAGATGTACAGCATTGTCTTTTGAGCAAGCTCTATGGCTACAGTTGGATAAAGAATTACACATCATAAATCCCACTTGCACTGCATTCAATCTCTTTCAGCTGAAAGTTAACGAGGTAGCTAAAGCTATTGGGATTACCCTCTTTAGTCTTGTGAGAAGATTCTTTTTATTGTAAATTCAGTGCTTGAATTAGCCTCTGACCAGCAGGTTCATAACAAAATGTAAATGTAGTAATTCTGAAATAGAGATGACCTTAAGTGTGTGTGTGTGTGTGTGTGTGTGTGTGTGTGTGTGTGTGTGTGTGTGCGTGTGCGTGTGCGTGCATGTGTGTGTGTCAGAGAGTCAGTCCTTCAGATGATGCAGGCTGGTCAAAGAGTGGTTGATAATCCCATCTACCTCAGTGACATGGGAGCAGCGCTGACAGGAGCGGAGTCACATGAACTGCAGGACGTCCTGGAGGAGATCAGTGTGAGTAGGCTGATGTTTGTGGGCCTGTGGGACTCTCATTCAGTGTGTGGAGACAGCCCTTGAAGGTTCAGCTGTTTTCGTCTTCAGGCAGCACAAAATATGTTCAATACCAGTTGACAAAGAATATTTAAAACTTGCCCATTTCAAGGGTTTTTTAATGGTTGGTAGTTTTTTAGTGGTTGGTAAACAATTGGTTTTGTTTCTAGCTCCTTCTGTTTTGTTCATCACAGCCATGTGTAACATAGCCTATAGTGCCACCTTCTGACTAGTGTTGAATGGTTTACTGACACTAGAAAAGTACAGCTGATCCTGACTGGCCCCAGCTCGTGGATAAGTCTGACACATGACAGGGAAGGAAAGCTCACACAAAGTCCATCTGCAAAGCCAGTTTTGGCACAGGAGCCAACACATGAAAATACCTGAAACATCTCACTGACAGACATACTGACTTGTACAAAGAATTCAAATAGCAAATGTGGTAGATAATATAAAAGTCAAACAAGTGACATAATTAGCTATGAGCCATGATGACTGATAAACTCAGCTTTATCTTTTTAGTTGACAGATCAATGTGGAGCACATCTCTATGTGCAAACACAACTTCACCATGCTAAAAGTCCATTATAATGATCAGTTCATACTCAGTCAGTGCTGGTGATGGTGAACATGGCAACAACATTGCCAATAATTGATTCAGTTACTACAAAATGTGCTCAGCACATCACAGACCTGTGTTCAGTCTATTAAAAGCTGTTCAATAAGTAATAGCTCCCTGGACATATAGAGTTCATTGTAAAATAAATTGATTACGTACAGGGGACATTAGATTCCTGCATACCATGTGAACGCTTTAACAACACAATGACATCAATCTAATTATTTACAACAATCCAGCGTTTATGTTATAAATGTACTAATTCATTGTGAGAAACAGACCTACCTATATGACAAAGTAAACAAACCATTTACCAGCACAAAAAATACATTTATACTGAGTATAAACATAAAAAACATGACCGTCTGACTGTAAGTCTGGCACTTGAATGGATAAAGCTCATACCAGGATTGTTATCCTGCTCACTGCAGCAGAGCACTAAAGTTGACGGAACCCAAAAGTCAAGTCAATTCAGGCTGAGCAGAGCTCTGTGAGTATGTTCTAATTTTCTATTTAGTCAAATTACTTTCGAACAGGTGTCCCCTGCCTTCGCCCTAAATCGGCTGGGATAGGCTCCAGCCCCCCTGCGACCCTAGTGAGGATTAAGCGGTGTATAGATAATGGATTGTTCTATCCATCATCTATACACAGCTTAATACTCACTAAAGTCACAGGGGGCTGGAGCCTGTCCCAGCTGACTTAGGGCGAAGGCAGGGGACACCCTGGACAGGTCACCAGTCTATTGCAGGGCTACTACATTGTTCTAATAAACGTTTAGTGTTATGATCATGATCATATAATTTAGTGGAAGCACACAAAGCTGTGCAGGAACAGACTGGCCAGTGAAAGAGGCTCTCATGGATTTAAAATCAACCACAAGGCCTTTGAGCAACTTGAATTCCTGCAGAAGAGTCCACATGTGTCATTACAATGTGCACTACCTTAATTATTAAAACAAAGGCATTTTAAGTTTCACTTTGTTATTGTATTATAAATTTACTTTCCCTGATGATTATTGCTGTGGTATCATTTCAGTATCAAGTATCCATTTATTTAGGCAGGTGTCACATCAACGTCAAAATTTTGGTATTGTGACAACTTTAAGAAGCAAACTTTATTCACTTCAAAGCAGATATTTTGAAAAAGCTTCATTCACAAAAATGTACTAAACTTTACACAAAACATTTCAAAAGAAACCTTGGTGCTGTTATGAGTAGTTTTGCTTAAAATAGCCTTCACATTGAAATTTAGTTGCTGTGGAGAGCTTACAGTTAAGAAGACATAAAAGTACACACAATATAATGATTTGGAACAATATATTTAAGTTTTTTTTGTGCTCAGTCCTTTGAATCCTGTTATGTTTCTCTGCAGATCCCAAAGCGTCTCTACAAGGCTCTGTCTTTGTTGAAGAAGGAGTATGAGCTAAGCAAACTGCAGCAGCGCCTGGGCCGAGAGGTTAGAGGTCATAGTTAAACATGTATGAGCTTTAACCAACCTGTGTTCAGCTTGTTACCCTCAGTCATTTGTCTGTCCCTCTTCTTTGCTCTCAGGTGGAGGAGAAGATCAAACAGACCCACAGAAAATACCTGCTACAGGAGCAGCTCAAGATCATTAAGAAGGTAGAGTAGACTGTCCTCTGCCTCGTCAATGTGCTTGTCAGCAGCATGTCTCCATCTCAGGCCTTAAAAAACCCTGAAGACTTTTAACTTGTAACTTACATATCCTTAATGTCCTACCAGTCCATCTTACTCACTTACAAATTTAGAGTATTTCAGTCCAACACAGCAGCTGTGTATTCCATCTAATCATCCTGTCAGATGTATTTATTGCATGAAATTTCACCCTTGTGTTCCATACTGTAACCGCATTATATCAGGTTTATGTATTGCTGTCAGACAATCACATGACCAATATAACTGCACAGTATTACATATCTCAGAATCACCTGTATAGTAGTTATGCCATTATTCTCATGGGCAACAAAAAATATGGGGAAATTATCTTTATGTGAGCTGTGCCATGATTTTCGACCACTGAGACTTATCCCAGAGTAGAGACTAGCTATCTCCTCAACCTTCTGGACCAGATTTGTGTTGTAAGAGCAGGTCTGTGAAGTTGGACCCACTGAAATAATGTATGTGTGGCTGTTTTCAGGAGTTGGGTCTGGAAAAAGAGGACAAAGAAGCTATTGAGGAGAAGTTTAGAGAGAGACTCAAGGACAGGACTGTCCCTCAGCACATAATGGATGTCATCAATGAAGAGCTGAACAAACTGGGTCTGCTGGACAACCACTCATCAGAGTTTAAGTTGGTCTTCTGTATTTTTTGTCCTGCTAGCCTGCCAAGGCCTTTGCGTTATTATTGATAGCCCTTAGCTTTCTTAACAAACACTAAAACATCAGAACCAAATGAATTATCTTGACAACTACTAAATAGACTGGAGTGAAATTTTGTTTATTTATCCATTATCTGTAGAAAATGTTTCTGAATGTCACGATAACTCCTTTACCTTCTTGAAGGCTCTCATGTACACACGTGGACAAAACTGTTGGTACCCCTCGGTTAAAAAACCTACAACGGTCACAGAAATAATTTGAATCTGACAAAAGTAATCAGAAAAATTCTATGAAAATGAAGCAATGAAAATCAGACCTTGCTTTTGAAATGGGGTTCAACAGAATTATTGAAAAAAAATAAACTCATGAAACAGGCCTGGACAAAAATGGTGGTACCCCTAAAAAAGACTGAAAATAATGTGACCATAGGGACATGTTCAATCAAGGTGTGTCCTCTAATTAGCATCACAGGTGTCAACAAACTTGTAATCAGTCAATCGGCCTATTTATAGGGTTACAAGCAGTTACTGTGCTGTTTGGTGACATGGTGTGTACCACACTAAACGTGGACCAGAGGAAGCGAAGGAGAGAGTTGTCTCAGGAGATTAGAAAGAAAATTATAGACAAGCATATTAATGGTAAAGGCTGTAAGACCATCTCCAAGCAGCTTGATGTTCCTGTGACTACAGTTGCACATATTATTCAGAAATGTAACATCCATGGGACTGTAGCCAACCTCCCTGGATGTGGCCGCAGGAGGAAAATTGATGACAAATCGAAGAGACGGATAGTGCGAATGGTAACAAACGAGCCCAGAACAACCTCTAAAGACATTGAAGGTGAACTCCAAGGTCAAGGTACATCAGTGTCAGATCGCACCATCCGTCGCTGTTTGAGCCAAAGTGGACTTAATGGGAGACGAACAAGGAGGACACCATCGTTGAAAACAAATCATAAAAAAGCCAGACTGGAATTTGCCAAATTGCATGTTGACAAGTCACAAAGCTTCTGGGAGAATGTCCTCTGGACAGCCGAGACAAAACTGGAACTTTTTGGCAAGGCACATCAGCTCTATGTTGATGCAAAAATGAAGCATATCAAGAAAAGAACACTGTCCCTACTGTGAAACATGGAGGAGGCTCTGTTATGTTCTGCGGCTGCTTTGCTGCATCTGGCACAAGGTGTCTTGAATCTGTGCAGGGTTCAATTAAATCTCAAGACTATCAAGGTATTCTAGAGAGAAATGTGCTGCTCAGTGTTCAAGTTATTTCTGTGATCATTGTGGGTTTTTCTTTCACTAACCGAGGGGTACCAAGAATTTTGTCCATGTGTGTATACACTGATGCAAAAAAAAAAAGAAAAGAAAAGAAAAACGGTCAATGGACAAGTAATAACCCTTTACATTTTGGATATTTAACTATCCTGCATGGCAGTACAGGGCACTCACTGCCTGAAGGGCAGCTTTTGTTTTTCTTTCCTATAATTGATGTACACTCATCTGCCACAACATTAAGAACACCTGCTTCTTACTGTGTATTTTCTTGTCATACCACTACAACAGCTGTGACTCATCTTGGCCTGGACTCAACAGCCCTCTGAATGTGTCCTGGGGTATCGGGCACTAAGACGTTAGCAGCAGAACTTTTAAGTCCTAGAATCTGTGAGGTGGGACCTCAGTGGATCTAACTTGTTTTTCCAGCACATCCCACAGATGCTCTGTCAGTGTAAGATCTTGGGAATTTAGAGGTCGAGTCAACTCTTGAACTCTTGGTCATGTTCCTCACACCATTCCTGTACAATGTTTGCAGTGTGGCAGGCAGCATTATCCTGGCGAAAGAGGCTATAAAGGCTATAAGGAAATATTACTGCCATCGGGGATGCGCATGGCCTGCAACAGTGTTTAGGCAGATGGAAGGAGTCAGGGTAACATCCATATGAATGCGGGAGCCAAGGTTTCCCAGCAGAACATTGTCCAGAGCATCACACTGTCTCTGCTGGCTTGCGTTCTTCCCATAGTGCATCCGCTGTCATTTTTTCCAGAGGCAAATTACGCACGCATATCTGGCTATCCACAGGATGAAAACGAGAACATGATTCATTAGACCAGGCCAGCTTTTGTCATTACTTCGTGGTCCAGTTCTGATGCTCATGTCACACTGTGGGCTGTTTCGGTCGTGAACAGTGATCAGTGTGGGCACTGGTCTGCAGCTATGTAGCGCCATATGCAGCAAGCTGTGATGCTCTGTGTTCTGATACCTTTCTGTTGTAGCAGCATTTAGGTTTTCAGCAGCTTTACAGGTTTACAGTAGCTCTTCTGTGGGATCAGACCACATCGTCTAGTAAATGGTCTGCACTTATATAGCGCTTTCCGACCTTCGTGGAACTCAAAGCACTTTACAATGTTGTAACGACCCCTCCGTGCCACTAGGTGTGTGCTTGCTTGCTTTCCTGTCTTTGTCAATTTCAGGTTTCCATTGAGGCAGGCTTGTCATCAAGGTGATTGACTTCAGCTGGGCCCGTGTTGTTACATGCACTCTTCTTCCTCCTGATTATCTCTCACTCCACTTGCTCACCTCTGCGATACGTGCGGGCCTCGTGGCGAGGCTTTTATTTTTTTCTTTTTTGCCTTGTGCATCCACACACTCACACATCCACACAGACATACACGACTAATTACTGACTCTGACATGCGCTTATCTTATTTGTAGAATAAACATATGTTTTTTGGCACCTGACCTCGTCTGTTCTCCCATTGATTGTTGCGGTCTAAGAGCCGGGCTGTAACAAATGGGGGCTTGTTAGTTTTTGTTTGACCTGGTTTCACTTTCGTCACTCAGGTAGTAGGAGGCTGGGTGGGTGGAGCTTCTTGAGTTTTGTCAATGAGAGGTTGTCGCGTGACGTCAGTGTGACGTTGGGTCATTTGCCTGCAGAAAGAAGTGCTGAGTGTCTGCTCTCATCCGTAGCTTTCCTGGGTTGTTTGGTAATACACCAAGCCAAACTCATCTGGTAGAGCATGACAATGTGTTTCTCATTCACCCATTCACACACATTCATACACCAATGGCGACAGAGCTGCCATGCAAGGTGCTGCCAGTCATTGGGAGCAACTTCAGGCTAAGTGTCTTGCCCAAGGACACTTGGACTGTGGAGAGATCAAACTGCCAACCATGCGATTAGAGGACAACCGCTCTACCACCTGAGCCACAGCCACCCACGAGTCTTCACTTCCCATGTCCATCAATGAGCCTGGAGCACCCCAGATCCTGTTGCTGTTTACCAGTTGATCTTCTTTGGACCACTTTTAGTTGGTTCTGACCACTGAATACCAGGAGCATAGTCCAAGTCCTGCTGTCTGAAGATATGGCCCACTCGTCTGGCCATTCGTTTGTCAAAGTATTTCAGATTGTTACGCTGCCCAATTTTCGTACTTTGAACTGTTTAGCACTGACTGTTCATTTGCTGCCTAATTTATCCAACGACTTCACAGGTGCCGTTGTGGTGTTGTGGCTGATCATTTTATATCATCTACTGAACTAATGAAATGATTTTAAGTCAGGTTTAAGATTATCATTATCTATGACCCTGCTTAAGTTACGCTCAGTGTAACTAGCTGTCCTTTACTGAAGGTACCTTCTGGAGTTTCTGAAACTAGTAGCAATGTTTTTTCAAGCGAGCCAGAACAAAAATGACTGCAAATGTTTGATGAGGAAGGAAATGCACTCAGTACATTTCCTACAACTCAAGCACACATGTAACATGTTTTAACTGAAAACACTGAGTACAACTTTAACTTGAATGCATTTGCTTAGAAGAAAACTCCACCAAGCTTCAGTTCCTGTCTCTATACAGTAAAGCTCTAACTTTTGTCCACATTTAAACTGAGGATACAGAACCATTTATTTTTTTGCTTTATTTTAAAGTACAACATTCACAAAGTACAACATCTGTGTGTTTCAGTGTAACCCGTAACTACCTGGACTGGCTGACGAGCATGCCCTGGGGTACAAACAGTGAAGAGAACTTATCTCTGGAAAGAGCCAAAGAGGTTCTGGAAGAAGACCATTATGGAATGGATGATGTTAAGAAACGCATATTGGTTAGCGAATACATGCACATACCCACACAGTTTATAACCAAAGGAAATGGAAAAAGTACTTTTTGCCTTGATGGCAAATGCATAGATAGACTGATCCACATCAGCAGAACTTTGGGGCTTTTTCTTGTATGGATGAACCTCACTTTTCTCTCCATGTGTGCAGGAGTTCATAGCAGTGAGCCAGCTGCGTGGTTCGACCCAGGGGAAGATCCTATGTTTCTACGGTCCTCCAGGTGTAGGAAAGACCTCCATAGCCCGCTCCATAGCCAGAGCGCTCAACAGACAATACTTCAGATTCAGCGTGGGAGGCATGACTGATGTGGCTGAGATTAAAGGGCACAGGTTAGGATGTCTGTCCTGCCATTATCTCTGAGGGACCTTATGACTTCCATTTTAGTATCATCATCTGTCAGTGAGACGTAGCATGTGTGCAGGGTGGGAAAAGTTTTGGGAAAAAAAGGGAATATGACCCAGAACCAGGGCTGCCTTCCCTTTGCTTTTAGCCAGATGTCTCATTTTATGTAGCTTCGTCCTCCTGCACACAGAGAGAGGTAGATGAGGTGATGGCTCCTCTGAAGTTGGAAAAGGTCAGATGTCCATAGCTCTGCTAATAAGCATGACTACTATTTCTGGACTGCTATGATAATGTCTGTACTTACCACTCAATATGAGATGGAACCTCATGGCCTAGCACAGGAAAGTTATCTGATCTGGCCAATAAGATGACTGACAAGTAAAAAACATGAACTTGTACACCAGCTTATTATTATTATTGTTATTATTATTATTGTTGTTATTGTTATTGTTATTGTTATTATTATTATTTTAACACAACACCAGTGTTAATTCACCTAATATAAAGAACGCATTTAACTATTGTAAACTGGTAAGCAGTTATTTGTTAATTGTTTAACATGTCAGCTAATCCGCATCAGGCTTCATCACCTTATTGGAAAGCATATGTAGGTTACAAAAACCATTAGAATAACTTTACATGAACAGTGTTGCCCTTTGGCATCTTCCTTCCTCCTGCTCCTAAATTGAGTCTCATTATTTACCAGGTGCCACTTTTATAAATGAGGAGAGACTGGTTGTTCACAACTTCTACATAAAAACGTCCGATTTTAAGGTTCTTGGCTAAAATTGCTCAGGTGTTGCATAGAGTTAATACATTTCAAGTTTAGGTGTGTTAATGGTTATCTCTTGTTGGTCTTTGAGGCTCTGCATAATCGGATGTTATTACTAGAACATCTACAATAGCTTCATTTCCAATAAATTCCTTACAATAATGTTAACTTTATTCAATTGTATCAGCCACTGATATACCATGCAACTGTGGTTGTAATTTAAGGAAATATGTGGAGATCATTTTGTACAATTTGTGTGTGTTCATGTGTGTGTGTGTGTGTGTGTGTGTGTCTCTCTCTCTCTCTAGGAGGACATATGTTGGAGCGATGCCCGGAAAGATTATCCAGTGCCTGAAGAAAACCAAGACCGAGAACCCTCTGGTGCTAATAGATGAGGTCAGTATGTTTGTGCTGCTCCTGTAGCTGTGTCTGTTGATTTTAAAATCAATAGATGTCAAAGTAGCATTAATTGTGGAGAAGCCTCCTAATGTAGTAGTTACTGTCTGCAACAAACAGATTGTTCTGGGTCCCCATTTTAGTTTTCTCTAAGAAAAGATAAAACTTTTTTAATCCCAAAGAAATTCTTTTTTTCTTTTTTATTGCTTGTTAAAAAAAAAAAACAACAACAAAAAGACATAACATACCAATTGCAGTGCTTAAATGGTAGAAAAGCAGTAAGATATAAGTATGATGCAGTATTCAAATAAAAGAAGTACGCTAAAAGAACAGCAAAAAGAAATGCTGGCAATTCTACTGAAGTAATAAGAAATGTCACACATGATTATGAAATATTGCTCCTTAAAATTAGATGATTAATTAAATATTGGACTCTACTTTGATGTACTGTGGGTGGTAGTGAGTGAACTGTGGTGACAGTTTACAGGCACTCAGAACAGCCTTTAAAATAGAGGGCCTTCCAATGCACCGTGAAATATACCAGGCTGGTGAAGACAGTGTGAACTTCCTTCATAAAAATATATATTTTTTAAAAAATTAAAAAGTGTGATGAAAACACCATGAGACATCGTCAGACAACCAAGAAATGTGAGTGAACTGATCCATTATCAGACTTCTCTTGAATATCAGTTATTGAAATTAGCATAGTTTGGGTTTTTTTCATATCAAGCAGCAAAACAGGTGTATCATGATGTGTCTGAGTATTGTGCACGTGCACATTGCTGTGTCAAATCTGAAATTTTACATTTTGCTAGTGTCTGGACCAAAAGCTTGCAGATTAACCCTGTATGTGTGTTGTGTTGGACAATAACCTGTAACTTGTTCTCTTGGGAGTCGTCCCTCTGAGCTTTAATGATTTTTCCTTTTGCCAGGTGTGATGATGTTAGTGATAATAATGATGACGTGTCTTTCGCTAACCTGTTACTACCAGGTGGATAAGATGGGTCGTGGTTATCAGGGTGATCCATCCTCTGCATTGCTGGAGCTTCTGGACCCTGAACAGAATGCCAACTTTCTTGACCACTACCTGGATGTTCCTGTAGATCTATCAAAGGTGGGAACGTTTGGTTTTTGTGTGCTGTTCCACAGTTCTCCCACATAATATGCAGTTTTTATAAATGCCACCTAACTCTGTCTGCTCCATTGAAGATTTTGTTTATCTGCACGGCCAATGTGATTGACACAATCCCAGAGCCACTCAGAGACAGAATGGAAATGATCAACGTGTCTGGATATGTGGCCCAGGAGAAACTAGCTATTGCTGAGGTAACACCAACATCTGCCTGTACACTCATGTGACTTTAGAAAACAAGTACATGTACAAGTTATTATTTTCTTGTGAAATTCTTTATCTTTTTCATGAAGTAAATGCCCACGTTTCAGTACACTAAAATCTTGTAGCATGAGATAAGGTCATCAGCAAATGCAAATGAACCTCCAATCTGTGTTTGGTGTGAACTTTAGATTGGCTACAAGACAACCAGTGTCAGCTCACCAGCCTGAGTCACTACAGTCCTGTGAACTGTGAGGGTTTCACATAGATTGCAACTATTGATGCCACAGTTTATGACAGCATCGCAACGTAGACATTTTTCACATACAGCGCTTACCTAGCCACGTACAAGTAAAGCTGCATGCACATTACATTTACTCCACGTTTTTACTGAGAAAAGGTCCAAATGCGAAGATTGATGTCAGGGTTTTAATATTTTCTTTTCAAAATTGCAAATATCTGATTCTTTTTTATCCAGCCTTTTAGTACATAGTGCTTTTAATTTCCCTTCCTGTGTGTCTGTGTAGCGTTACTTGGTCCCTCAGCTGCGCTCCCTCTGTGGTCTGACCGAGGAGAAGGCCTCGATTTCATCTGATGCCCTCAGTCTGCTCATCAGGCAGTACTGCAGAGAGTCTGGAGTTAGGAACCTACAGAAACAAGTTGAAAAGGTAAAATATTGACAGACTTTGCTCAAGCTATACAACACCAAGGCTTACACTCAATAGGTTACTCAGGACAAAGATTTGGTCCTAATCAGCAGAACAGTCTGGATAGAACAAAAACTTTAACCTGCTATAACATCATCTTTGGATGGGTGCTGCTCGCGTCAAGTCACTGATATTTTTTGGAAGCCCATAACTGTGGTTCTACGTAACAAACAATATTATTCCTATTTTTAATAGCAGACTCACTGCAGAGAGAGACTATCTTTAAATCTCTCTCCAAGCAGCGCGCATCCTATATAATTTTCTGTCTGCTATCCTGTCTGTCTGTCTGTCTGTCTGTCTGTCTGTCTGTCCGGCTGTCCGTCTGTCCGGCTGTCCGGCTGTCCGTCTGTCCGTCTGTCTGTCTGTCTGTCTGTCTGTCTGTCTGTCTGTCTGTCTGTCTGTCAGGTTTTACGGAAGGTGGCATTCTCCATTGTCAGTGGGGAGCACACCAGAGTGACTGTTACACCTGAGAACCTGCAGGAGTATGTGGGTAAACCTGTTTTCACAGTGGATCGGATGTATGATGTCACCCCACCCGGAGTGGTTATGGGGCTTGCATGGACGGCTATGGGTGAGAGAACACACATACACACACAGACACCAATACCAACAGAAAACAAAACATGCTGATCATCTGTCTACATTTGTCGGTTTTGTAGGAGGGTCGACTTTGTTTATCGAGACTTCACTCCGCCGCCCTTTAGGAGGAGCAGAATCTAAAGGAGAGGGGACACTGGAGGTTACAGGTCAGTCGAGAAGGTCACAAATATGTAGTGTTTTCACAATATCAAAAATGTGACTCTAATACAATATCTGCAGACATAGTTTGTGTGACTCCCTCTGTGATGTTTATTCCATTAGCAGTAAAATATATATGAACTTTTAAATGTGAATGAAGCAAATCTCAACCATTCAGCAAATCTGAATTTAAGACACGAGTCCAATAAGAAAATCTTGGCAGTCAGATTCACGTTAGAGCTGGTCTGGGGTCAGTAAAAGCTCTCGATGGCCGGTTCCAAGTCTTTTTTGATACCAATACTGAAACAATAGCAAAACCCTTAAGAACATCAGGAAAAGTAATCAAATAAGGCGAGAAAAGTTTGTTGTTTTTAAATGGAAAAAAAGGAAAAACTCTGACAGTGTTCATGTAAGGCAAATGAGAATGTGAAAAGAAGCCAGAAACATCCATCCATTCCATCCATTCCATCCATTATCTATACACCGCTTAGTCTTCACTAGGGTCGTGAGGGTGCTGGAGCCTATCCCAACTGGCTTAGGGCAAAGGCAGGGGACACCCTGGACAGTTTGCCAGTCTATCGCAGGGCTACACTTAGAGACAGACAACCAAGCACACTCACATTCACACCTACGGAGTATTTAGAATCAGCAATTAACCTCAACATGTTTTTGGACTGTGTGGGAGGAAGCCGGAGAACCCAGAGAGAACCCACAGATGACCTTCTTGCTGCGTGGCAGCGGTGCTGACCACTAAACCACCCTGCAGCCCAGAAACATTAGGAGTGAATTATTTTATCATAGTGTGTCCATACATTTTCATATCCAACCAGAACCAGAGGAATCCTTCATTAAGTTCAGCTCTTTCCATGTTTTTGTCTTCACCTTCACTTGCCACACTGTTGCTTGTTACAGGTTAAATCCTTGCAGAGATATATGCATTAGCACTTTAGTGCAGATTTTAATCACTGACTTTTACTCTTTCTGCAGGAGCTGAGTTGAACATTTAGAGCTGGTATTGATCTGTAGACTGTGACTGCCTGGGCTTTAGCAGCTTGCAGTAACATAAGCTAATGTTCCCAGTGAGAATGCTGAACTGGGCATACTGAAGGTGTGGTTTCACCCCTGCAGGTCAGCTCGGTGATGTAATGAAGGAAAGTGCAAAGATTGCTTCAACGTTTGCCAGAACCTTCCTCATGACCCAGGACCCAAATAATCACTTCCTGGTCAACTCCCACCTTCACCTACATGTCCCTGAGGTAACCATGGTGATACAGTTCTGTCATTCAAATACATACTGATAACAATCGCTGTTTTTTGTATCTTTTATTTATTTTGTATTTGCTGTTAAACAGTATACAAGAGAAAAGATGTCTTAAATTTGTGGTCCTTAAATCCTTTATGTGTGGATTTGAAAATATCCTTTTGTGACAATATCAAAGAGATACTTGGCTGGCAGCAATGTTCATAATATCAAGCTTATTTTAATCATCACTTCTTTGTAGGGGGCAACTCCTAAGGATGGACCAAGCGCTGGCTGCACCATTGTCACAGCACTGTTGTCCCTGGCAACCAACCAGTCAGTGCGTCAGAATGTAGCCATGACTGGTGAGGTGTCACTGACCGGCAAAATACTGCCAGTCGGAGGAATCAAAGAGAAAACTATCGCTGTATGTTCAAGATACACACACACACACGTACAGAAATGGTTCCCAAACCTGTAGACATTTGTCTTCTTTGATATTTCTCCTCATTTTATTATATAATGCTTTAAACATGAATGTGGGTGACTAAATCGTGCATCACATTTTCATATGGTTGAGTGTATGGGCAGAGTTTCAGTTGATTTTGGTGGTAACGTAGAACAGAGAAGCCCTCATGACGGCTAAAGATTTGTATGTTTTGTGGTGATTACTAACTCAATTGTTAATTTCAGAAAAGAAAATACAGCTAGGCATAGCCCAAACAATGAGGCCTAAGCCTTCTAGCACTGGTCACATGCAGGTATCAGTATGACTTAGATGAGTATATAAAATGCTGGTACTCCACAGATTTACTACTACAATTACAAAGTGCAATTTGGGATTTTTTTGCTTTTTTTTTTTTTTTTTTTTT